TATACACCAGTATATATTTTTTCATATGTACGTAAGAATATACGTACATATATTCTTATTTTCTCTTCTAAGTTGGTAAAACTAACTTCCTAAGTGATAAGTTCATTTTCATGTTTAATGAGTATTTAAAATGAAACCTGGTTAAAATAGAGGGCTGGAGAGATGGCTCAGAGGTTAAGAGCACTGACTGCTTTTCCAGAGGTCCTGAGTTCAATTCCTAGTACCCACATGGTGGCTTACAACCATCTGTAATGAGATCTGGCACCCTCTTCTGTATACACAATAAATAAATAAATCTTTAAAAAAAAATAGAAAACTTGGCTTCCATCTGCCTTCCCCCACTTCCTAATACAGGCCTCTCTGAGTCTTTTCTTTCCCAACACTCCCACTGCCCTTTATCCTATAGCTTGGTATAGTTATCTTGATTTCTCATTTTAACTCCAACCTCATACCCAGTCTATTTGTAGATTTTCTGCAATAGTGCTGATTAAAAATTGTCATTAGCCAGCATCCAGGAGGCTACAGATGAAGATCACAGAATTTTAAGAACATCCTTAGCTATATAGAATATTCAAGGCCAGGCTAGGCTGCATGAGACCCTGTCTCAAAATGACAACAATTATCACTATGGCCTGCCTGGACTGCTGAAGGAAATCATCCTGCCTCTTCTCCCTCACCAGTGTAGATGACCCAAGGCTGTAGGGCTTAGAAGGAATTGAAGTCCAGCTGTGAGCACAGGCTTAGGCTACATGGAAAAACCACCGTGACAAGGTCACTGGGCTTGGCCTCCAAACTGTACAGTCACTGAGAGACTATGTAGTTTGGGGACACAGCTGGGTCATCAGGAAAGGTCATTCCTGTATCTTGCTAACTTGATGGATAGTATGACAGGAACTGGAAGAAGCCAACATGAACAATAAGAACCTAGGAGGAAAGCCCTCTTCCTTGACATCCTTTTAGCTCTCTATGGACAGGTCTTAACACTGTGCCCATCGGAGAAGGGGGATGCTGCAGAGAAAGTACTGAAGAGCGAGCATAGGGCTAAGAGTGAACACACTGGTAACTGGCACAGTGTCTTTCAGAATAATGGATATGTTTTCACAGTGTAAGCATCGAACACTATGATCTTCAGTTCTTAGATTAGTCATCAAAACTACCATTTAAAAGTAGAGTTTACAATGCTCGTATTATATTCACATTCTAACTTGAAGTTTCTTCTGTGACTACCAGTGATGTTCTAGCCAAATTCTGTGGGTGTAGCTCACTGGCAAAGCATTTGCCACGCATGTCCCAGGCCCTGACCCACCCTAGCTGTTTGTAGTGGCACACGCCTGATTCCAGAGGCTGGATCAAAGCTAGCCTGGGCCACATACTCAAGAGTCAAAAGTCTGATTGGATGTGGGCTCTCACTAGTAATCCTAATGCTTGGGAAGCTAAGGTAGTTGGTTGTCATGAACTGAAGGTGAGTCTGGTCTACACAGCATGTGACCTCAAAAAACTAAAAAACAAAACAACAAACCAAAACAGTATTTGTCAGAATTACTCAGGCACTCAACATGTGAGTGTTACAGAGGCCACATCTAACAAATGCAGGGCAAGGAGCTGAATCTGGGCAGCGATATTAGACAAATTAATAAAATGCTGTTTAATGCTGTTTTCTTTTCTTTCTTTCTTTCTTTCTTTCTTTCTTTCTTTCTTTCTTTCTTTTTTCTTTTTCTTTTTCTTGTTTTTTTTTTCCGAGATAGGGTTTCTCTGTATAGCTTTTCGCCTTTCCTGGAACTCACTCTGTAGCCCAGACTGGCCTCGAACTCACAGAGATCTGCCTGTCTCTGCCTCCCAAGTGCTGGGATTAAAGATGTGCGCCGCTGCCGCCGCCAGTTAAAATGCTGTTTTTAAAACCACACTTTCTCCAAGAGATAACATTCTCTGCTTACCTGTGCAAATCACTCTTTAAAAAAAAAACTAATTTACTTATTTATTTATTTATTTGTTTGTTTATTTATTTGCAGCACTAACATTCAAGCCCAGGGTTTTGTACATTCTAGGCAAGCACTCTACTGGTCACAAACTAACCTGAAAGAATGAAGCTCAGTCTACTGGCTCAGGCTAGTTAACCACATCAGCTACCTAGCAGAGAGAAGGTCCCGAGGGTTATGCTCGGGGCAGGTGAAGTTGGAGAGGAGATTTAGGACAGAGGTAAGCGTACACGGCTATTAAATGTGTTGCTGTGCGGAAAAGGCAAACTCAGGGAAGTGTTATGGACAGGCGAGACTCCGCAAGAGTTCTCAAAATGCTTGACGTGGAAGGGGCAAGGAAAAGGAGGAGGGTGGAGGGAGATGAAACCAAATCTCTGTAGTCATGTCACTATTTTTTATAGACTTGACCTTTCCAGCAATGGAGGAAAACGGGATCATATAAATAAAATTAACATATATTCTTCCACTTGTGTAGAAAATGATTTTTAAAAAATTTTCGTCTGAATATTAGTCAAAAGGAGCCTTAATGATTTATTTTGTTTTGTTGTACTTTGCTTCAGTGAGGAGAACTCATGCTAGGCAAGCGCTGTTACTGCTGCATTCCATCTCCAGCCTTCATGAATGTCATGGAGGCTTAGCTCAGAGAGGGAAGAAAATACTTCTTGTTCTTATGTAGAGAAAGAAAGAAAGAAAAGAAAAGGAAAAAGTTCTTGTCTCTGGAAGAGCGTGGCACAAGCTGCAGAGATGTTCATGAGGCTATGAATTAGATAAGTTAGGCCTAAACTCTCAGCCATTCTGTAACTGAGCCAGCAGGTGCTCAGTAAAGCTGATGAATGAAAGCATGAGGTAGAGTACTTAAGCTTTGTGTGCTGGGGCTGTAGCTCAGTAGAGTTCTCGGCTAGGAAGAGTTCTGTCCTCAAATTAATTAGATGTGGTGGTTAGTGCACGCCTATAATCCCAGCATTTGGGAGGTGGAGACAGAAGGATCAGATATTCAGTGTCATCTCTGGCAGCACAGCAAATTCAGGCCTGCCTGGGCTACATACATGAGACCCTGCCCACCCCTGCTGCCTCCCCCCCACCCCAATACCTAAGAAGACCTTGAAGGTCTGGAGACACGGCTCAGTGGTTAAGAGTGCTCACTATTCTTGCAGAGGATTTGAGTTTGATTTTCAGTGACTGATGACCATCTGTAACTCCAGGTCCAGGGGACCTGATGCCCTCTTCTGGTCTCCATGGGTACCAGGCACCCGTGGTGCACATACAGAAATGTAGGCAAAAACTCATACACATAAAATAAAAATACACTTTTTTGAAAAAAAAAAAAAAAGAAAGGAGACGTGATAAACTTAGGAGAAAAATTTACTGCAAGCAACAAAAATTCAGTCACTGCACTTTGGAAAGAGACTTCTTGGCAATAAAGAGCCCTACAATTGAAAAACAAAGCACCCTTGACCTCCTTAGCCAGTTGTGGTGGTGCACGCCATTAATGCCAGCACTTAGGAGGCAGAAGTAGGTGAGTTCAAAGCCAGCCTGGTCTACATAGTGAGTTCCAGCACATCCAGGGCTACGTAGAGAGACCCTGTCTCAAAACCCAATAAAACAAAACATACAAAAACCCACCTCATCGTTTATGACCCTGTTTTTTTCTAACTACTTTTCTCTTTGTAGAGTGAGTGCTCTTTACTTGGGATTGGCCCAGTGTCTCCTCTTGGGTAGATTTAAGATATGCATATCTGGTCAGAGTACTCCATGTGACACGACATCATTCTGGGAGCATTGTGCCCAGAGGCACATCCTGTCCACTTCATCATCTGGCCAAAGCTCTGAATCATTTTTTATGTGCATTCAGATGTCTATATTTTTTTTTCTCATTTGCAATCTCATTATTATTAATTGTCCTAAATAATATAATCAACTTTATGTTTATTGCCTCATGCCCCAACTGCCAATTAAATTGTAGTTCCACAGAGGCAAGATGGCTGTTTGTTTTACACAGGAACATGACCTATTCCAAGTGTGTGACATGCTGAGTGCCTGACAGGCTGAGTCAAAGAAGGAACATGTTTGCATGAGTGGAATGTTGGATAACACCGAATTGATTAAAGGTATTAAAATGAATAGTGTTCTCCAGGACAGAACATTATTTAAGTAATGCAAATATCTATGATCATAGGATGTGAGAACTATATGGGAAAATACAATTAAGTATAATTTCAACATCTCATCTTAGCTAGGCGATGGTGGTGCACGCCTTTAATCCCAACACTTGGGAGGCAAAGGCAGGTGGAGCTCAGTGAGTTCGAGGCCAGCCTGGTCTACAAGGTGAGTTCCAGGACAGCCAGAATTGACAGTTACCCAGAGAAACCCTGTCTTGAAGAAAAAAAAGATCCCATCTTAGCCGATACATTCAAGACAAATCATCAGTAGCAGCACTGACTGATAAGGTTATAGTACAAATTCTCCTTGTCTGTCTAGAGAAGAAAGAATGTAAAGAAGGGCTAAAAATTGAGGGGAAAGAGGAGGCAATCAACCAGAGAATGAGTGTCTCATGGGCATACCTAGACTTTTCTTACCAGTTCTAACCTGGGATTGTTCACAGACAGCTTCGCTCTGAATGTCTCTAAGAGGGATCATTTTTAGTCCTCCTGATAATTAATCCTCCCCCAACATTAGGGCTCAACTTTTTTGTTTCATTTTGTTTTTTGAGACAGGGTTTCTCTGTGAAACAGTCTTAGCTGTCCTGGAACTCGCTTTGGTAGACCAGGCTGGCCTTGAACTCCCAGAGATCTGCCTGCCTCTGCCTCCCGAATGCTGGGATTAAAGCGCCACCACACCCATAGGTTTTTGTTTTGTTTTGATTTTTTTAACCTAGTTCATTTCAACCCAGGGTTGAAATTTTTGTTGATAGCTCTTAAGTCCAAAATCACAAAGTAAAGGATCGAAACGTATCAGGATCAATGACTAACCACTTGAGTTCATTCAATGACTGTCAATGACAGGTCATTCTCTATCTTGGTTCAGTCACAGCAGGCAGAAACAGTACGCTGTCTTTGGGTGTGTGGCATCTCTTGGTGACACCTTCAAAGAACATTTCATGAAAAGGGAGAGACTTGGCTAACCAGCAAGAAATTTCAGCCGATAACCCCAAACGACACAGGCGGAAGTGAAATTCAAATGGAAACCTAAGTAGAAGGAGCGTCAGCTGACGGCAGGAGTGCTGACCCTCCATCGCGTGAGAGACTCCAGACACTGAACTTGGTGAAAGGAACTTAGCACGGCAAAGAAAATGGCTGCAGGAAAAAGGGTGAAAACAGCCGAGAAGTGAGGACAGCAAGAGCTCCACGTGAAACTCTCAGAAATACCTCAGGTGATTATGCAAAGGGTAAAACATTAGACTCAGATCAGAACTTGAGAAGGCACTAAACTCTTCAGCAATCGGCTCTCTCTCCAGACAGCACGGTTATGCAAAGGAGGGCAATATTCCAACTACTCTCCCTGCATGTTCAACCTAGAACTGGAACACCTCCATTCCTGGTGTTCCTAACGCCTCGAGTTCCAGTATACTCAATAAACAACAGCTTTACTATCTTTTTCCATCTCTCTCTCCATTTATAACTAGTAGTAACAGTTTTAAGGTTTTGAAATGTTGGGCCTGCAGAGCCGGATCCGTAGTTAAGAGTGTTTACGGCTCTTCCTGAGGACCACAGTTTGCTTCTCAGCACCCATGTCGGGCAGCTCGCAAACACTTGTGACTCTAGCCGCAGGGGGTCCACCTCCCTCTTCTGGCCTCTAAGAACGTCTGTACTCACCTGCAGAAAATCACACCCAGACACCCAGATGCATATAGGATACCTTCTGCTAGTGTCGCCAAGAGTGACAGGGGAGTTTCACGTATGAAATCTCAACAATTCTGTTGCCTAAACAAGACCTGCATCACGACAACACCAGTTGACATGCCAGTGTGGATGGGGGACATTTCACAAGGTCCTACCCTAGATGAAGAGATTCTCCCCTCTGCTCAGATGGGGAGAATCAGCTTTCTCCAGGGACAAGCTGCCTTGATAGATTATCCATTCTCAAGTGGTCAGGCCTAAACACATGTGCACATGAGCAACATTAAATGGATTCTTTAGGTTCTTTACATACCTATATACATACCTATGTGTGTGTGGGGGGGTGTCTAACAACAAACAGGGGGCATGAATTAAAGGGGAGTTGGGGAGAGTATGAGAGGAGTTGGAGGGGGAGATGAAGGGATTGGAATGATGTAAAAATAGTACTCCTGTGAAAGTCTCAATAAATAAAAAATTAAATTACAAGTAATAAAAATAAATGTTTAAAAATTGAGATTTATTTGTTTTTAATTTTATGTGTATGGGCATTTTGACTGCATATATGATTGTGTACTACATGCCCATGGAGGTCAGAAGAGGGTATCAGATCCCCTGAACTGTAGTTACAGACAGTTGTGAGCATCCAAGTGGGTGCTGGGCTTCGAACGTGGGTCCTCTGGACTAGCAGTCAGCTCTTAACTGCTGAGCCATCTCTCTAGCCCTATATATCTTTTTTTTTAAAAGAATAAAAGCTTGTGTAGATCACGGGAGAGTCCTGACTCTCCTGGTGATACTCAGCTTGCTTTGCACTATTGCAGGTTGCAGTCTCATTTTCACAGTTCTATGCTGCCTGGATGCAAAGGAGAATGAAAATGAAGTGTCCCAAATGCAGCCCAGAATTTCCTTACTGTCACCATCGTGTGGAAAAAGATCAACGAGTCCCCAGCTGGAGGCAATCAACTATGGAGCTAGCTTACCACTAAGGTCAGTCCCAAAGCTGTATCGTTAGCTTCTCTTTCTAAAGAACTCTGGGCTCAGCTGCTCACAGGCAGGAAGCAGAGGGAGAAAGAGGAGGAAGCCTTGAGTCACAAGGCCCTCTCCCACAACCCTCCTGCAACCAGGCCCATCTCCTAAGAGCTCTTTCAGCTATGACCTCATCAGCAGGTTTAATTCACTGATGAAGTCAGTGTCCTCAGGATCCAGTCACCTTTATTAATGCCATCACTTGGGTTGAGGCTTCAACACATGAGCCTTCTGGTGGTGGTGGTGGTGGAGGTGGTGGAGGTGGTGGTGGTGGTGGAGGTGGTGGAGGTGGTGGAGGTGGTGGTGGTGGTGGAGGTGGTGGAGGTGGTGGTGGTGGTGGAGGTGGTGGAGGTGGTGGAGGTGGTGGAGGTGGTGGTGGTGGTGGAGGTGGTGGAGGTGGTGGAGGTGGAGGTGGTGGAGGTGGTGGTGGTGGTGGTGGAGGTGGAGGTGGTGGAGGTGGTGGAGGTGGTGGAGGTGGTGGAGGTGGAGGTGGTGGAGGTGGTGGAGGTGGTGGTGGTGGTGGAGGTGGTGGAGGTGGTGGAGGTGGTGGAGGTGGTGGAGGTGGTGGAGGTGGTGGAGGTGGTGGTGGTGGTGGAGGTGGTGGAGGTGGTGGAGGTGGAGGTGGTGGAGGTGGTGGAGGTGGTGGAGGTGGTGGTGGTGGTGGAGGTGGTGGAGGTGGTGGAGGTGGTGGTGGTGGTGGAGGTGGTGGTGGTGGAGGTGGTGGTGGTGGTGGAGGTGGTGGTGGTGGAGGTGGTGGAGGTGGTGGAGGTGGTGGAGGTGGTGGTGGTGGAGGTGGAGGTGGTGGTAGAGGTGGTGGTGGAGGTGGTGGAGGTGGTGGAGGTGGAGGTGGTGGAGGTGGTTGTGGGGATGACTTCATATGCAGACTCTCATCAGAACGTTAACGACTCTGTCCTTTGCCTTACATCAAGTCAGGAACTGGATCACCTGGGGCTTTTCTACCCTCTCACTGTCCATGTCTCAGCTTAGGAGATTTTTTTTTAAATGTTGTTCACATTTGAAACTTTATTTTTTTTCTTCTTTAAAAGTATTATTACCTAAACTAGTACATATTCCATGTGCGTAAGTGTTCGTGGAATTCTGATTCCGTAGCTGCTTTTCGTACACTGGAGACGTTACCTCTGTGAACGTTAAACTGGGTTCTTCAAATAACAATCACAGATTCTTATCAGATGGTAAGTGTAGTTCCTGGATTGTAAACAACCCCCTTCTCCTCCGCCTCTAGAGGGATTTAAATCACTCAATATGTGTTTCTCAGCTTTAGAATATTGTCTGTTAGTAGCCAGTATCTCTTAGGCTCTCCTCTGGAGACCTGAGTGGTCGCTCACCATGCCCATAAGTATAAGAATGTGCATGCAAACCACACCACACACCACACACACACACACACACACACACACACACACACACACACACACACACACACACACACGGGGGTGGACACAGTAATGGGCTCAAAAATTGGTTCTTTAGCAAGCCAAAATGTCAAACACCTCAGTGGCAGGTATGAAAAAACATTAAGCCTGTCCCTGCCGAGCCCCCCGCTGACTGTTCCATATGCCAGGTGCTAAATTTAGGAGGAAGAAAGGCAAGTTTAACATCGGATTCTCTGTTCACTGCTCTGCGAGAGCTGCCTTTTCTTTTCTTCCGGAGCAGCTGCACAGAAGCTCCCATGAATGCAAAACACAAGCGGTGCTAGAAACAAGGCATCATTTGAAAGAATTCACCAGATGACTTAAACAAATAAACCTAGTGGGTTAAGCTTATTGTTCTACAGAGAATAAGCCACTCGGCTACCCACGGGTTGATGGAACTCACTGGACTAGAGCAGGGCTGACAAATGGGGAGAAAATATTCGGCAGTTGTACTTTGTCCTGAGACAAATGACCAACTTACTTTACATTCATTTCCTGCAGCTGGGGAGTGGGTGGCCAGGTCTGTAGCCCACCCATTGTAGCCAAGTGACATTTCTTGACTTTGATGGGTTACCACCTTTTGAGTCTATATTTTACAGAACAATGTATACGGCAGATCGTTTCCCAAATGTTCTGGAATAACTGAAGAAGACCTTTTGCAAGCTGTGGCCATGCTCAGAGAATGGGATGTTTTGACAAGCTGGGGAAGAGAGTGTCAGGCCGGGCAGGACAGAGTACTAGCAGTCAAACAGCAACGCTGCTGCATCTTGGCCTTCAAAATGCACCTCCACAGCCCTGAACATTTCAGCCATTTACTGTATCGCAGCGACACTGGAGTGGGCCATGGGAGCTAACTGTTGGTGGTTTTTTATTGTGTTTGAAGACATCGTTGCAGGAATCTGAGGCTTTCTTTCTTTCTCCCCCGCCCCCCCCCCCCCCCCCCTTTTTTTTAGCCTCAGCTGTCCTGGAACTCACTCTGTAGACCAGGCTGGCCTCGAACTCCCAGAGATCTGCCCGCCTCTGCCTCCAGAGTGCTGTGATTAAAGGCGTGCAACACCACCGCCTGGCCGAATCTAGGGTTTTCAAGCTAAAATTTCCTGTGAAGTAGGTGGCATTTCCACATGAATAGGATCCTATAAAATAAATCAGATGTGCAGAAATCTGGATAGCTCAAAGTTAGGAAAGAAGTCAGTCAGGACGGGAGTGCTGATGACTCAGTTTAAAATTATTTAGGCCAACTCCTATGCCTTTCCTTCAAGGAGCCTCATGTGACTGTTTCTTCCTAAGCTCAGCTCCTCTTCCTCCTCCTCTTCTTCCTCTTCCTTTTCCTCTACTTCCTCTTCCTCCTCTTCTTCCTCTTCTGTGCTTCTGTGATGTTTCCTCATCTAATAGTTCTTTATCCATTGTAAAAGATAGAAGTGTCTACAAACTGCTAATCAGTGAAGAATTACTCCTGACCTCTTTAGCATTTGTTCTAAGTGTAAATGCAACTCTAGGCACTTAGTGTTTTAATTTATAGGTTAATTGTAAATAATTATTGTAGCAGCAATATAATATTTAGAACTTAGTTTTTCATCGTTTTTAAAAACCTGATTTTTTCTTCTATTTTTTCCTTCTTCCCTCCCTTCCTCCTCCTGCTTCTCTCTCTTTTTCACGCTTTTTTTGGCGTGTTGAGATAGTATCTTGTCATGTAGTCCAGGCTGAGTAGAACTCATAATCCTCCTGCCTCAGCTTTGCAAGTGCTGAGATTATTGGTGTGTGACCAGGCCCATCTTAAATCCGATTTCATGATGGAAGGCAGCTTTTCCTGAGTTTACTGCTTTTCTCCACAAGGATACTTAGTGAAAAGAATCAATATTTTAGCTAGAGAAGCCTCTGACCTTCACAGAAGGTCACAGTTTTGCAAAGACTAGAATCTATTACCTCTTACCCTCCTTCTCCTCTCTTCTCCATTTGTTGCTGTGTGGTCTTAGACCAGTTACACAACATCTCTGGGCTTCAGTTCTGTTATTCATGGACTCTAAATAATGATAGCACCTTCTTCTGCCATACCTGACATACAGGGAAGGTTAAAAAACATTTTAGCTATTACTGTTTTTTTGTTGTTGTTTTGTTTTGTTTTTTTGGTCTTTTTTTGAGACAGGGTTTCTCTGTGTAGCTTTGGAGCCTTTCCTGGATCTCACTCTGTAGCCCAGGTTGGCCTCGAACTCACAGAGATCCACCTGCCTCTGCCTCCCAAATGCTGGGATTAAAGGTGTGCACCACCACCACCTGGCCGCTATTACTGTTTTTTAATTAGCTCAATATATATATTTCACATCCTTTTTCTTTATTTTCTCCTTTTTACATCTCCTAGTGAGGGAACAAGTCATTTCTAAGCATACTGGGAAACTAAGAAGTATAAAATGAAGCAAATTCCAAAGTCCAACAAGAGGGCCATGTTGTATCACTCCAGAGACTCCATCCAGCTCATGGTCAGAAAGTCTGCTTCTTCAGAAATGGTGATGCTGTTCATGTGGCCACAGCAGCAGGTCCAGGTCCTGCATTCTGTCACTCCCAGCCTGCTCTTCTTCTCTCTGTTTTCAATGTGTGATTTTTTTTTAATACATAGATTGGCATGTGCAACCAAGATAACATGTACACATTAAAGCTTCACCCATTCATGTCCTTCTGTGAGTCGTTTCATCCTTTCTAAAGATGTTGACATTCGTCTGTGTGTTGTATGCATAAATTTTCACACATGTGAAGTATTACAGTGATGGAAAGTGTAAGAAATAAAGACTGGCCGGGCGGTGGTGGCACACTCCTTTAATCCCAGCACTCGAGAGGCAGAGGCAGGCGGATCTCTGTGAGTTTGAGGCCACCCTGGGCTACAGAGTGAGTTCTAGGACAGGCTCCAAAGCTACACAGAGAAACAGAGAAACCCTGTCTCGAAAAAACCAAAAAAAGAAAGAAAGAAAGACTGAATTACACTTGACAGTATATACACAAGATGTTTTTTCATTCTTTGATGAAATAATTAGAGCTGGACCAAAGCAGAATCGAAACATTCAGTTAACTGACCATGAGTAGTGCTGGGGTAGGCAGTGGATTTCCTGCTATTAAAGAAACAGTGGTCAAGCTGGGACAAGCATGACTGACCACGGCTCTCAGGGTGTCACATTCATGTTTTGTCCAGTCTATGGACAATGACACTGATCTAAGGCAACAGAATACTGGAAGACATCATTTAGTTAGTTCTTTGTTAGTCTCTGATGAACTGCTTCAATAAATATCCCTGAATTTTAAATCCCAAGATGTTTTTATTTCAATACAATTTATGACCAGCAGTAGAACTGTCCACAGGTGGTATTGGATTTCTCCATATTCCTTCTTGCCATTTATGCAAGGCATAGGTTTCCTTTATTCATGGTCAATCCCACCATCATCCATGCACAAGAAGAGGAAGGTGCCCAAGAGTCTGTGCCCATAGCTAGAGAGAGTAGAAGCAAAAACCAAGGTAAGCTATGAATTTAATAATTCACTCTTGACTAATCAAGGGTTGACATAGTTGCATTAGAAGTGTGTGAATTGGGACCAGTGAAGTTCAATGCATCCTGGGCTAAGATTGACTCAGCACTGTGTGGAATAAGCCCTACCTTTTTTTTAATGGTTGAGGAGAAGGTTTTTATTGTAGGTATAAGAGAGAGTACAGCCAGAGGCACCTGAAGGAGTCCAGAGTAGGGAGAGAAAGTAGCTGACTAAATATGGCCAGTTACTGAACTGGGCCATGAAAGGAGAGAGAGGTGGGGAGAGTGAGCGAGCAGAGAAAGAGGGGGCCAAGAGAGAGGATCACGAGCCAAGAGAGCCCCACTGAGCCCAACTTAATGATGTGATTTCTTCAGTCTTTGGCTTAGAATTTCCCTACTTACCAAGGAATTGCAACAGGTAATGAATGAAGACTTAAGGTTTCCTTAATGATGCCTTCTTTCTCAAAATTACTGTCCAGTCCATACCCGCAGACATCTATTATGATGCTATTTTGTGGGATTCAAAATAACAAAGCACTGACTTTGTTTAAGTTGTTTTCTCTCAATTCAAAGACTTGACAGAAAGTCAAAAAGGGCCAAAGCATTGGGTGATGAGCAAGGCTTAGGATAGAGTTGTGCTATTCCTCCATAACCAAGGAAGACATCGGATTTTATTCTTTCCTTTCCTGTTTTTGACGGTCTTACTGTGTAGCTTAGATTGGCTCTGAACTCCAAGTAGCTCTACCTTAGCTTCCTGAGTACTGAGATTACAAGTGTGTGGCATCACACTCAACTTGGATCTTTTTTTTTTTTTTTTTTTAGATTTATTTATTATGTATACAGTGTTCTGCCTGCATGTAAGCCTGCACACCAGATCTCATTACAGGAGGTTGTGAGCCACCATGTGGTTGCTGGGAATTAAACTCAGGACCTCTGGAAGAGCAACCAGTGCTCTTAACCTCTGAGCCATCTCTCCAGCCCCCAACTTGGGTCTTACTCTGCATATTATTTGTTTGTTTGGTTATTTATAAATATGTAAATATTTGTACATTTATCATCTAGAGACATAGCCCAGGCTGACCTCGAACTTGCTAGGTAGCTGAGGATGGCCTTGAACTCCTGGTCCTCCTGCTTCTACATCCCAAGTGCTGGGATTATAAGTATGCTCCACTAAGCCTTAGTTTAAATAGCAGTCTTTTTTTTTTCCTTTTCTTTTTTTCTGAGACAGGGTTTCTCTGTGTAGCCCTGGCTGTCCTGGAACTCACTGTAGACCAGGCTAGCCTCAAACTTAGAGATCTGCCTGCCTCTGCCTCCCAAGTGCTGGGATTAAAGGCATGTGCCACCACCTGGTTGAATAGCACTCTTTTTGTTTTTTTTTTCAAGACAGGGTTTCTCTGTGTAGCTTTGCGCCTTTCCTGGGACTCACTTGGTAGCCCAGGCTGTCCTCGAACTCACAGAGATCCACCTGGCTCTGCCTTCCAAGTGCTGGGATTAAAGGCGTGTGCCACCACTGCCCGGCGAATAGCACTCTTAAATAGTCATTGGCCTACTGTGTTCCTGACCAGATTGTCACCTGTAGTTTTTGCCAGCTCTTAGTATTGCAAATCTAATTTTTGTATCCATTAAATAAATATGTGTGGTGAAAGTCTTACACACAAATAATTGTTGGGAAACTGTCGCTGATGAAAAGTGACCACTAAACATCGGTTGGGAGGACAGTCACACAAATCAGGCATGAAACAACAGGTCAAAATAATGGGTACTGTAACAACAGAATTACCAACAGTGTAAATGGATCACTGCAAAGTCAGAGTTCAGTGTGGAGACCTGGGTTCAGAATCACACCAAGGGTAAGCAACAGACCTGTGTTCCTGTCCCTGATGCCAGCATGCTTCTCACTTCAAAGTTACAAACACCGTCCTTGAGTATCAGGACTTGTCACAGTAATAAAATGTTCCACTTTCCATGTCGAACGTCTACTGGTTTTAACTAGGATCTACTGAGTGTCTGCTCAGGGTCTTTTTCAGGCTCATTTGCTCATCTCTAGTGAAAAACTCAGTCATTCTCAGCTGTGAGTGGTAAGAACGGGAGTGGGTAGGGACTGGTTGCTTACAGGCTTCCATGTTCTGATCTATAAAAACCTTCCAAGAGGGGCTTGCAAGATGGCCCCGTGGGAAAAGTGTTGTGATACAAACCTGGGGACCTGAATTTTATCCCTAGAGCCTGTGTAAGGTAGAAAGGAGGGAACCAGTCCCCAGAATCTGTCCTATGACCTGTGTGAGTGTGCTGTGGCACACACTCACAACTATATATCACACACACACAGAGACCATAATAGTGCATTTAAAACTTAATTGTCGCCGGGCGGTGGTGGCGCACGCCTTTAATCCCAGCACTCGGGAGGCAGAGGCAGGCGGATCTCTGTGAGTTCGAGGCCAGCCTGGGCTACCAAGTGAGTTCCAGGAAAGGCACAAAGCTACTCAGAGAAACCCTGTCTCGAAAAAACAAAACAAAAAAAAAAAAAAAAAAAAAAAAAAAAAACTTAATTGTCAGGTATTGAGGGAGTACCCCAGGGTGTGGACAGTCTTTCTCAGGTCAAGTAGACAGGTAAATGGAAGAAGAGTAATTTTTTTAGGTTTTGGTTGCCTTTCTGAGTTTTCAGTTATGAAGTGAGTTCAAAAAATTGTGTGTCATCCTTGCACAGGAGCCATGCTAATCTTCTCTGTATCGTTCCATTTTTTTTTTTTTTTAAGTATATGTGCTGCCGAAGCGAGCGCCATCCTGGGATATCTTAGGCCCTGTCTCAAAACATTAAAACCGAAAAAGAAAACAAAGGCATACCCACCACCACCCAACCTTTCTCCTCAATGCGCTATCTCCTAGAAATCCTGTCCCCCTGGGGCAGTGCTATGAGCTGGGAACTGAGCCTGCAATATGTGTGTGAGTCCTTGGGAGGCATTGAAGATCCAACCCACATGCACTGACTTATTCAGGCTGTTTCTTCCATACATAAAATCTAAATATTTGTGTGGCCAAATCTGACACCGCCTATAAAGCTCTCTATAATTCAAGGCAACACATGTTTCCCTCCATGTCCTAGCACTATTAGATGCTGACAATGAACCTTTCCCACTGAATTGGTTCTATGTGTTTCTCAAAAAGATAAAAAATTACTTATCAGGCCTGGAGGAGAGCTGAGCACATTGGCTGCTCTTTTGGAGGACCTGGGTTCAAGTCCCAGCACCAGGTTGTGACCCACAACTCTCTATAACTCAGTTCCAGAGTATCTGATGCCCTCTTCTGGGTTCTGTGAGCACCAGGCATATGTGAGGTGAACAGGCATACATCCAGCCAAAACATCTACACATAAAATTTAAAAAATAAAAATAAACTGCATTTCCATATACATATAATGGGTATCTTTTTGGACTCTTCTTTGTCAGTCTTTATACTAATATCAGACCTTATTGATTGCTTTATTTTTATACTGATGTTGAACTTTTTTTTTTTTTTTTTTTTTAGTTTTTGGATATTTAAGACATTTTATTTCTGTATAGCTACTACCATCAACTTCTACCAAGAGCTGAGTGAGGAGCTATCGAATCCATAACACAAATCGGGAAGAACTGACATCTTAACAATATTGAGACTTCTAAATCAATAATGAAGCATGTCTCTTCATTCACGTAGATTATCTTTAATTAGTCTCAGAAATGTTCTATAGTTCCCAGTATGTAAGATTATTATATTTACCTCTAAATAGTTCACACATTTATCAATAAATGCTTTCCTTTAAAAATGCTTACTTTATTTATGTATCTGTGTGTCTGTGTACACATATGCATGTAGTTGCCTGTTGAGGCCAGAAATTGATCCCTCGGAACTGAATTACAGGTTGGTTTGGAGCTGCCCAGTGTAGGTTCTGAGAACTAAACTCTGGGCCTCTGGAAGAACAGCAACTGCTCTTACACCATTGAGCCATCTTTCCAGCCTCTCTTTTCATGTTTGTTTTGTTGGTGGTGGTGCTGCTGCTGGTGCTCGTGCTGGTGCTGGTGGTGGCCATGGTTTTGGTTGGGTTTTTTTTTAATTAATTAATTAATTTTTTTGCCTTATGGTATTAGTGTTGCTGCCACACAGTCACATTATAAACTCCACAACACATTATTATTATTTTGTTCCAGTGCTTACCTTTTAACGTTATTAAGGTTACCTTTTAAATACTTGCCCGGGGGTTCGATCCCCGTTGCCCTGCATTCTTTCCTGGAGACTCCGGCTTCCAGCTGTCATCATTTTCTCTTACCTGCAGGACTTCCTGTAACTTTTCTCACAGTGCGGTCTGCTCAGGAGGAGTGTTTGTATTTGTTGTAAACAGCCTTTGGTTTACCTTTTTGAGGAAAGATGTTTTTATTAGATATGGGGCTCTGGGTTGACAGGTTTGCCTTCTTGCAGAACCTTAATGACGCTCCTCCTCTTCCAGTTCTTCTATCTCAGATTTCTGATAAGAAACCTACTATTATCCTTATCTCCTTTCTCCACAATAAGCCTGTTTTACTCTAGCTGTTTTTTTTTTTTTTAACATTGTCTCATTATCATTGTTTTTGGAATAATTAAGTTACAGTTTTCTTTGGCACAGTGCTTGCGATGTTTCTTACGCTTGGAATTGGCTGAACTTCTTGAATATGTGGGTTCATGACTTTCATTCGGTTTTAAAGTTTTCAGGGTTTCAAGAGGTTTTTTTTTCCTTCATTTTTTTTTTTTTGTTACCCTGACTCTATCCTCTCCTCTGAAACTGCACAGATATTAAGCTTCTAAAGTTATTCTGTGGGTCACTTGGGTTCTGATGAGTAAACCAGCATCTGTTTGTGCTTTATTTTGCTATTTCTATGTCCTCGAGTTTCATTCTTTTCTACACCATCAAATGCGCGGATCTTCTCACGTGTGCTGTCAAACACGCTATTAGGATCATGAGGAGTCCTTTTACTTTGTTCATCATGGTTTTCAACTGTTTTAGTTGGACGTTTTTCAGAGCATCCCTGTCTCCACTCTCTGCTCTGAGCATGCTGCACGCTGTTCCCACAGCCCTTTTAACGCCTGATAAGAATTTTCCAGCTCCACACCTTAGGATTGGTTTCAGTGATTTCATGTTCTCGTTAGTGGTCATTCTGGAGTGGTTTGCTCTGCTGTTTTGTGTATCTGACACTACTTTTCTAGTGGAATGTTGTGGTATTGTCTTGCTGGGCCTGGCTGTTTCTGCATTCCTACAAACATTCTTGTCTTTGTCTGGGAACGGGAGTGAGTTACTACCAAACAGTTTGGTTCCTTCCAGTCTGACTTTAAAGACTTGTCTGTTGTACGGAATGAGGCAGGGCCCAAGCTACCCGCAATTACCTCTTGCTTCAGAAGCGTGTGTCACCCGTGTGCTCTGTCTTAGGATCCATTCAGCTTTTCCACCATGGCCTGTGGGATGGTACTGTGTTCATTTGAGTCTGTGTTCCTCTACTTCACACTGTGTCTGTTAGATATTTTTATGTTGTTTGTTTCTTAGGAGTTCGTTCTCTGCTTGTATTGACGCTTATCATTCCAATGCGGGGATAAGCCACACCTTATTAAATGGCTGTATTATTGATGGACATTTAGACTGTCTTGGATTATTATGAGTACAACTGCTATGAATGGTCTGATGGGCATTATGGGATATATGTACATATGCGCTAGACGTGCCGTTACAGAAGGCTGCTATGGGGAAAGATGACGCTTGGGGTGAGTGTTTCATTAGATGAAGAAGCAAATGAAACAACTCTACAGAGTGAGAAGAATCATAAAAGAAAAGGAAGAGAGCCGGGCGGCGGTGGCGCACGCCTTTAATCCCAGCACTCGGGAGGCAGAGCCAGGTGGATCTCTGTGAGTTCGAGGCCAGCCTGGGCTACCAAGTGAGTCCCAGGAAAGGTGCAAAGCTACACAGAGAAACCCTGTCTTGAAAAACCAAAAAATAAGATAAAATAAAATAAAATAAAAATAAAAGGAAGAGAGTCACCAAGAAAGGGTAGGGATGGAGGAGACCAGAACCTCACGTGCGAGGTAAGCGTGGTCATCAGCTACAGGGGACAGAGTGCACTTTGGAGAATACAAGTTTGTGGTCACACAGGCTTTGGTTTTAGAAATGTGTCTCTGGTCCCAGTATAGAGAACGAGCTGAAGGAGAGTGAGCCCAGAGACTGGGAGCCCTCTTAGAAGACGGTTGCAGTAATTCACTCAGAAGTGATGAAGCCTGCGAAAAGCAATGGCCATCTGAACAGTGAAAGGCGACAACGTCTGAGGAGTCCTAAAGACACAGGCCAGAGGAAGGAGTCGGAGATGACTAAAACTATGTGGATGCCGAATTCCAGTGGTCAATTCTTGAGTGAGAAAGAGGAGAAATTTTCAAGAAGAGTTGTGAATTAGATTGAAAGTATAAAAAAAAACGAAGACTTTGAGTTATAATGATTGGTTTGCCGTGCCAGCTAGCAAGATATCACAGTGCCATTTCAATTGAGTCGCTGTGGTATTCTATTAAGGAAAGATTCACCCGAATTTAAAATATATATGATAAAAATACCACAAGTAATGTAAGAGAATGATAATAAATTGGGGAAAGTATTTCAAATATACAGTAGACAAAGGGTAACTATGATATATCAACAATTATGTGAGGTAAATTAAGAAAGACATACAAACACACATATACACATATGCATATAAACATATACACATGTATATATATGCACACATACACACAGATGCATGAACACACACACACACACACACACACATACACAAACTAGTGGAGAATATGTCAGGGGTAGAATAGAATAGTTTATAGGTGAATTACACTGGCCAGTGTTTGCAATACAATACTAAACTACTTTCTAAATGACTAAGCTTATTTATTAGGCATGTTGTTCTGCCTTCATGTATGTCTTTGCATCACATGCATGCCTACTTCCCACAGAGACCAGAAGAGGGTATTGGATTTCCTGGAACTGGAGTTACAGATAGTTATGAGTCATCATGTGGGAGCAGGGAATTGAACCCAGGTCCTCTCGAAGAGCATTCAGTGCTCTTAACCACTGAGCCATCACTCCAGCCCATGGCTGACGTATTAGTGATATGAAATGTTGGCTTGAGAATAGGGAACAATCTGACCATGAGGAAGCAGTAAACAGTTTGAGACGTGTTTTTGACCTTGAGACTATTATGGGAACTTAGTCTTTAGAAACATTTTTGCTAGGAAACAAAGATATGCATTCAAGAATATCCCTGTTAGTGGTTCCTACACTTAGTGAAATGCTGGGACAACCCGAGCAGGGTGTGATAAACCAGTGCTCCGGGGCAAGGGAGAGCTCTGCACGTGTTCTTTCCAGTGAAGCCGGTCACGTGTGCAGCGTAGAGGAAGCCATTGACAGCATGCTGTTGAGTAGAAGACAGCTGTGCAACTTTTGTTTATATTTACAGACACTTAAAACAATTCTAATTAACATTCTCGAAAGTGTGAAGGGAACTGTTCTCCTCTTGGTGAGCATGTGCGATTGCGTAAACATGCTGGACGGTCACTTTGTTAACTAGATCTATGCGTGACGATTTCAAACCTTAAAATTAGCTTGTCTGCAAAAAAAAAAAAAATTCTACTAGGAATTGGTCATGGAGAAAAATTTGGCAGTGTGAAAAAGCTAGAAATACGTTGACTTCAGCATGCTTCAGAACCTCGTAAAATTAACAACCTGTTGGTGTGGG